ACGTGCCACTCATATGGACGCATTGGTCGTATTTGGCCCTCCACGAGCTAACCTCAGTGGAGAGCTGCTTGATGCATTGATCACTTCTATCATTCCTACGACCAAGGTCTTCGACCTTAGCAACCAGGCGATGAATAATCGCACTTACCGAAGAGTCCACTCTCCCTCTTTCAAGGGCTGTTACAAGATCAGCAACCTCGTTGGGTTGCTCCTCACTCGTAGGACCAAATCCTGATCCGCGATCTCGAGGAGTGGACAAATCAACCATGATTGGATTAGATCTCGGAGGAGTTCTGAAATCATCCTGCACGGCCGTTGATGGCCGTGGAAACTCACTCCGATTAGGAGATTGACTCTGATACGGAGCAGATCTCCTAGCATCACGAACCGCAGAGGGTTGTGTCATGCCCAGGCCTTTGGCCACGGGCAGTTTAGGAACAACAGGCCTATCCATTCGCATAGGAACATCAGGTCTCGAGTCAGCAATAACAATGTCATTCAAGTCGGTCGCATTGGACACTCTAGACTCAGACATCGATTCAATATCAGTCGCATTACTGATGGTATGATTGCGACTAGAACTTGATGCCATCATGGATTCAGATTCTATCGGAACATTTGCTCCGTCCATGTCGTCTAGGGCGAAAATGGAAGCCGCGTTGGGCGTAGGGCGAACACCTTGTGCGTTCATGCCACTTGACCTATTAAATTCCTCCTGGAATGCTTCGATTCCATCAAGCACGTTAACGAGTGTGTCCGCGTTTAGCGGGTCTCTACCAATGATTGACGCTGGATCACCTGATCGACCGCGTCCTGAGTCCCGCGCACTGGGGTTACCCCTGTGGGCGGTTTCCCGATCCATCCCCCTTGCCCTATGCGATCCAGTCGAATTTGACCTTGATCGTTTGCTCGGGGTCGGACTGGGATGCAAATCCAATCTATCTACGATATTACGCTCCCTAGGGCTCTCAAATCCTGAAAGTCCTGGGGGAGGGGACATGTTCCTCATGGTCGGGTTTACCGACGGCCTTGGCCTGACGTTACGGCTGGCCACGTCAGGATTGAGATTCTCAATCGACAAAGGTAGCATGAATTCATCGCTTCCAGCAGCCCGTTTTGGGCTTTGGAATTGCGGGAAAGATGACGGGGCGGGTGGCCCTGGCATCCATGCGGCAAAATCCATACCAAAAATGTTTCCGTCGTTGGGCCATGAGGCTCTCCAATCGAGCCCACCGGATTCGGTCGGCAGATGAACATCAAATGCAACTCCATTGGATGTACCAGGTTCGGGATTACCGAGCACTTGAAAAGCTATGCTACTGGTTGGCACAGGTCTACTGCTACTTCGAGAGTCACGAAACTCGGACTGACCAATATTCATCAGCTCCGGGAAAGATGAGGATTGAGCTCCAGGTGCAATACCGGGCTCGTCATCATCACGTCCTGAGACGGAATCATCATGGTCAGGACGATTAGCCCCATGACCCTGAGAGCGATTAGCTCTTGAGGCATTAGACGATAGGTCATCAGTGCGAGTAGCACTGGACCTTCCTGAAGGCATTGCTTCTGAAAAAGTGTGGTCCGACAAAAAGTCAGGACCGGAAAACATCGGCTGTCCGGGCACTTGGTCGTCATTCACAACGTCCAAGATTCCGGCCTGGCCGAGAACCCATTCATCGGTCACCACATGAGGTCCATCCTCAGTGATTCCCGCCATACTATACACTACCCTACAGCGCCTGCAGGGTTGTTAAAAAGGGGTTCGCGGTGCCAACCGAGGACGAATCCTACGGCTGATAACCTGCGAAAGGGTTTGAAACAGAGTTTCGGGAGGAATAAACAGGCCCAATCCCACCAACAAGAAGAGACTGTTTAAGTCCCCCAGTCCCAAGGGCAAAGCGGTGCCCCCGGCTGGCACAAACCCGAACCAAAACAGGGTGCCAGTTGTAACAAGGTAAAGAAACCCAGCAAGGGCAGAGACAACCGAAAGCAAGCACAAAGCAGCAAACCAAGCAGGCAAACAATGCAGCGAAGCAAGCAAAGCAAACCAGTGCACACCAACCCCACCCAGACCCCCGACCAACCTCCACCGGGAACACCACCACAGGCGCTCGGCAGCGGCACTCTTTGCCGGAGACGAGCACGATGTGCCGCGGTGCGCGGTGACGAAATTGCAAGGGCAAGTTGCCGGATTGAAAAGCTTGAGCCAAACGGCGCGTTGGCCGTGGCGTTGAAACATGTTGCGATAAAACTACATGCCCCCAAAAACACTGTTCTTTTCTTTTGCATTGTTTGTTGGTTCTTGTTTTTTTATTTGTTTTGTGTGTATGTGTTTTCGTTTTTAAGTGAGGGTGTTCATAAAACCCAGGTTGACTCTGATGATTTTTAGTTGGGGAACCTACCAAACAACAAGGAAAAAAGGGGACTCTTGATTGGTAAGCCTCCAAGTTGGGTTGAGAACAACCAATGTTGACTCAGTAGCAACTAGTGGCTGTGGTAGAACAAGAAGTGGAACCTTTGGGGTTTGCCAAATTGGGCGCGGAACCCCCTAAACAAGAGGGAAACAGAGCGTTGATCCTTGAGTACTACCCAGGGTTAAGACTCACACTTCCGCCAACTTTTGTGGAGCCCTGATTCATTCGCAGACAAAACATGGCCAAGGGACTCCCACAAGCAGGGGACGTGTTTAAACCCGAAGCCGTGCAGTTCTCCGGGCTTGACCTATTTGGAAGCCCTTCGGCTTGGGACCAAATACCTGAGCTGAATCCCAAGAATCCGCAAGGGGTCACGGGGGATTTCCCGTAAAACGCAGCAATTCACTGGGCAAATCTTGGAGGGAAACGGAGGAAACCGTGAGTAAACTTCGGATTCCGGACCATGCTAACTGGGACCTCCCTGACAACATTTACCACTCAACGGAAACCAGCACAGTCCGGATTAACTAAGGATTAACTTCTCAAAGTCAAACATTTCTGGAGGTTTTACCAATCAACATGCCAGATAGCCAGACAGCGGCTTTCGTCTTGTCCATACACAATCAATGCCTAAAACAGTCACAGTTCTGTTGCTGCGTCGGGGTGCAACGGGATCATCCCCAGCTGGGTGCTAAACAGAGGCTCTGGAAAAGAACACCTATCCCTCAAAGAACGATGTCACCTCCCTTTTTACATCCCCAACAAAGGATGTGAAAAGTGATGTGAATCATCTACCTTGAATCCCTTTTGGCTGTCTCTTTGGGACATGTTCAATCAAAGACACGCCACCTTTCGCACCTACCCAGGACGCGCATTTTTCCACTCGCGCCTCGTCGACCAGGTCCGCAAAGAGGCTGGTCTTGGCCAAGACTGGCGCCTCCTCCTCACAGAAAACCCTTCAACCCCCCCCCCTCAACCCCCCCCTCCCCCTGAACCCCCCCCCAAAAAAACAAACAAACAGAAAACCCACGAACCCCCCCCCCCCCCACCACAACTTGGGATCAAAGAGCATGTTCGGTGACCATGGTGCGGGGGCCTGATGCTTCGTGTGTTTTGGGTCACGCGCGATTTGGCGAGCTGCCACCATGAAGCGGCATCTTGTCGATGTCAGTCCCCACTCAACCAGTGTTTAAAATATGTGGTTGATGGCACCTTGTATGGTTGTTGGGGACTAGAATCCGTTTGGGAAGTTCTTTCGAAGGGAAGCCAAAGGGAGGCCAAAGCAAACCCACCAGTTGTCTGGTGAGGATCTCTAGCTGACTCCAGCTTAGTTTGGCCTTTTCGTTGAGGGAGAAGCCCTCCACCACAGGTCCCCTACAAAGCCAAAGCTCCCGTCCTCGCTTTCGCCCTCCGAGCGGCCGTCCGCGTCGGTGGTGCGGACGAGATCCATCGCGCTGTAAGAACACAGGTTCAGCGTTGCTCGTGATCTATGCGTTCTACACATGCACTCCCTTCTGATCGAGTGGATTGATCAGCAAAAAGTCCACAAGCTCTTTGTTTTTCACTAACATGTTGGTCTCAGAATTGCCCATTTGGGTCCAATGGCTCCGCCTTCAACGTCTAACCTAAAGCGTCTGAAAGGTCAGATCATTATAGCATATATGGGCGCATGTTTTTTGAGGGTCCACATTTCAGCTTGGTTTAAGGCACCACAATTTGTTTGGCCCCCCTTGTCTTGACACATACGCGTTTAGCATCTGTGTATATAAATATATATATATATACACATACCATCCAAGCTTTTGGGGCTCGCTCTCCCGCACGGCCACGTTCTCGTGGTTGCTTGAACCACGGCCATGGGCCCCACAACCACGTGCACTCAACGGGAGCGAAAAACAAATCGGGGTTCCAATGATTGGGGCGTTAAAATACGGCTCGTCTCCTATCTGCTAACAGGACAACTTGGACTGAGCCTCACGAGTTGACAACATCGACCCCTTGAGGTGGTTCCCGTTGCCACCAGGACACAAACCCGATATACAAAGCCCACCCACCCCTGGCAAAGGTTCCTCGAACCTTGGGCCCCGCCTCTCCTGAAATATAGGTCGGGGGGCACATAGCAGGTCCGCAAAGACAGTCAATACATCCCGACCTTTCTCCTACGGGATGTCTATGGTATATCAAGCCGCAGCTCTCATGTCGCGTCTTGCCCACGCACGGCCCACGCCGCAAATGAAATCACAGCACCATGTCTTTGGCATCATTGAATCCTTCAAGGCTGGCGCGGTGCGTGGGATTGACAAACAAATGCGCAACATTCATCCTGCTAGCAGGGCCTACCTGTGCAAATAATTCAAGCACTCAAAGCGGGTTCCCAGCCAAGCTTGGAAACCTGCCCAAACAACAACGCTTATACGCGTTTCAAAAACCGATCCATCACAAACAGGTACAGCTCATCGGCTCCAAAGCCCAAAGCCGCTTTGTTTGGTGCACTATGAATCGGACGGATTTCCGGCTTCAGGATCCACTTGGAACGGCCAAGAGTGGCGAAACACTGAAACTCACAGTGCCGGTTTCGGGCGCGCTTCACTCCTCCACCTCCTGAAGAGTGTCATGGCGACTGTCAGCTGAGATCAGGTTTGCGCATAACCTTGTCATTGTGGAAGCATCAAAACAAAGATTCCAGGGTTTTCCAGGCCCATCGAACAAAGCAAAGCAGGGGGAACCTGGAATGTTCAAACAACCTTAAAGCGACCTTGTTTAACCCTGTTTAAACACTAGGTGTTCACCTTGATTGCCAAGTTGACGCTTTTCCCGGTCACTTCACCCTAAAATCAGTCACAGTTTCTGGGAAAATGGGAGCAGCAACTGTTTTAACAAGGAGTTTGTATCGCCCAACCCTACCCCACCCAACTCCCACATGCTTGGTTCCAACCCACAGCAACCCGCACTCGCAATCACAGCTCCGGATTTCCGGAGCTCATCTCAGCCTTCGGCGCGGCCTTGACCTGGCGAAATGCCGCCGGGAACAGGGATCCTTACAATATACACCTGATTATTGCCTTGTAAATGGTGGTTTCCCTTTGTTCTGGTGGAAAAAAACATGTTTCAAATGGGCAACATGTATCTTTTAAGGAGCGCTGGGGAACCATGCGGGTGCCTCTCATAGCCCCGACAAAACGAGTTGCTTGCCGAGAAGGACATGGAAAATTGGGTAGTCTTGGTCTTGGGTCCCTCAACGTTCTCCGACTGGCAAACCATTTTGCGACGCATGCTGATTGAGAGTGCTGGCCCAAGAGCTTTCCTTTTCGTTTCATTTGGCCACGAATTTCAATAGGGAACCACCAACCACAAGTGGTTGCACCCAATTGAAACCCAGCAAACAGAAACGGGAGCCAAGCGCCAACCACACCAAGAGGGCGCCTGTGGCGGGGAAGACATGCCCTGGCACATCTTCGCGAACATGCCCTTGACCTGGCACAAGCTCAGGCCATGCTGGTCTACCTTTTTGGGGATTTACATCCATGCAGCGGACTTGAGCGGGTTCCCACCACCAAACATCACATTCAATGTAGGAAGAGACTCATGCTCCGGACCTTCTTGTCTTCCTCCTTCTGCCCAACTTGCGCCTGCCAGCCGAATCTGCGTCTTCATGCGAGGAATCCCTTGAAACGGGTGGTTTCTCTCTGACAATGGGTTCTAGGATGCCATACACATGAGTGTCCTTTGGTGCAAGCTGGAGCCCGTTTATTAGAGCTAAACGGGTGCCTTGACAAACAAAAACCTCCCGAAAAAGGGCACTCTCCAACACCGGGACACACCCAGCTCTCGTTTCACCCTCTAATTCTTGATTCCAGTCTCACAAGTGGATCTGAGCTTGGCAACCAGTTGCAAAGCACACGGACCCGCAACTCTGGTTGTTGCAGCTTCTTGAAGGGAACGCTGTTTTTGGAGGCGGAAAACCCATGTTCCCCTACCTGGAACCTGCAAAAACAAGTGTTCGGTTTCTGCTCAGCCGTTGGTTTGGGCTCCTTTAACCACTCCACAGTCGTTTCGAAATGGCGTCGCAACGTTGACTCGACTTCACACTTCTCTCTCGATCTCTCTCAATCGGGCGGAGCCTGCTTGTAAAGCACTTTGGCATCGCGGTTGCTGGGATCCAACTCCAAGATGTGCCTACAGCCACGGGGAAAAATACGTATTTCCTGGTCCTACGTCCTCCGCAAACAGTGTATAGAGCAAAGCTGTTGAACCCCTTGCAAGGCTCTCACTGTCAAATAGCCCCCTAAAAACATCCCAACGGAGGTTGCACAACATAGCATTTGATAGCCATGGGGCATCATGGGGCGCGAACTCACCCACAGACCATGGTAGACAAACAAAGAATCGGAACCCAACCACTTTGAGGACCGATGCCGTTGTCCACCAATTATGGTTGAGTGTGTTCCAACCAATAACGCACACGACCCGCTACTCCAAATACACATTTTAGGGTACAATGTCAAAGACTGACTGAAAGAAGGAGGTTTGTACTGTGGAAAACCCGGCTTTTCACAATTTAGAGTATTTGCAATAGCCATTTTGACTCCCCCCTCACTTGGTCAGACAAGTCCGACTTTTTGTTTACAACCAGAATGGTCGTCCCCTAAAAAAGTACAAAGTTCAGGAAGTCTCTTGGAGTGAGCCCTTACATCCCCCCCCCCCCCCACTGTTTCGCGCTCGCTTCCCGTCGGTAGTTCGCTCTTCCAGGGTCAGCGCTTGATGTCCTTCATGCAATCTGTGTACTCGTAGAGGCCGAAGGCCGCTTGGGCCCGTCGGAAGAGCGCCTCGGCATCAGAAACCATGTCTGGCTTCGTAGTTCTGTGCCCCTACGCCACATATCCACCTTTGTTTAGGGCATCCCTGACTATTTTAAAAAGAAAGTATCTACCATATAACCACGTTTTGCAAAACATAGCCTCAAACCAGCGGGTGTTTGGAGCAGGGGGTTCGATTATTGTCACTGTCCCCACAAGCCACCACCTCCAGGGTAATATGGAGTATATACCCTTGCCTCGTGGCAATATAGTGACCCTCCTGGGATAGAGGTTTGGGGGAGCGGAAACCATCCTAAAATAAACAAACAAGCACAAAGGGTCTGATGCATACAGTATGATGATTTGATTGGACATGGACCTTTTCCTGGGCACCAGAAATGCATGCAGGAAACATGTCCAACATTCTTTGAGGATGTTCTGAATAAAACTCGTTGCCTGGTCTGCGCACTGCCAATCATCGAGGCGACCAATGCCGATCCAATCTAGTTTCTCTCCCACCGGCCTTCATGTTGTCGGCCTCCTCCTTGAGTACGTTGTTGCAACACCTGGAATCTCCAGTCTCTCCAGCTCAACTGCACGTTGGACCCACCCCGCCACGTTCGCTTCTCCAGCTCCGCTCAAAACCCGCAACAAGCAACGAATCTTTGCTCGCTGGTTTTCGAGGTTATGTTGACCCAGGAATAATAAACCTGTTCCATTCAAGGGGGCTGTTCCCTCCAAAACTAATCAAATCCCCACTAAAAAGTGGACACCCCCCTATTACTCAACCAGGGGTTCTGCTCAATCCGGGGTTGACATTAGGTGGATTTTCGACTCCGCCTCATGGCGTCCTGGTGCTGCTTCAGCTTCAGGTGGCCTCACGGCTCGCTTGCCGAAGCTGAAGCCACGGGTCAAACTGCGGGGTCCATTTGCGAGAACCGAAACGGAGGGATTTCCCTTGCCACCCTTTCAAAACCGAAATGAGCATGGCGAAGGGTTTTCTAGGGGAACTGGGATCCACTGTGCAGACTTAAACTTCTAGCTCTACTATTGGAGAAACCAACCCTCGGAATTAGGTTTACCCGAGGCCCATCACAAGAAGGAACCCTGCACTGGCTTGGCTTCCCGCATGCAGCTTTGTTCCTGGCGCGTCTTGGCAGAAACTGCCGTGTGCCAGGTGCCGTGTCTTGAATCGGAACTTTGCCGGCCCCATTGTTTCACCATTGTCAAAGTCACCTCCTAAGTGGAGGGAAACAGCCCCAGTTGACTTTGATATCCCCCAGAAACCTCCAAAACAATGCCGAGCCCATTTCTGGGAAAGGTGCGAAAGAGCATCCCACGGAACACCAGGCCAAGCCCCGAGTCCTCAAATTTGGAGACACGAGCTGATTTGACAAGTCCAAAGCCAGGCGGCCGCACAGGTCACAGAGCTTCTTCAGCTCCTTAGCCTCCCGCCCCACCACCGAGACATGGAGACGACCCCATCGTTTGGGGCAAAATCGGCAGCCCGGGGTCTGAACAGCTTGTCAGGTCAGTTTTTTGGGAAGCCAAGAGTAAAACTGAGAGCCAGCCTTTTTGGGGCCCCTGTTTGTTTCTTTTGGTTGTTCTCTTTAAAACCACCTCAGAACAACCCCCCCCAAAAAAATACAAAAGGTTCCCCTCCAAACAAACTACGAGTACCTTGTCGGCACTGTTACCACCATTCGAACTCTACATGGAAGAACACCAAAGGTCACAAGGTTTATCTGCTGACTTGAGCACGAAGTGGTTGGGTAGCTCTTTTGGTTCTCAAAATAGGGGACCCCTAAATCAGGTTGGCTTCCCTGTAGACCAGTGACTTGAGAACCCGGTGATCTGGGGGTAGCAACCATCTTCGACGAAGTTTGCCAAAAAGGGACTCGATATGCTATGCAGTTGCCAATGGGGGTGCTCCCTAAGCATCACTGCAAAACCCAAGGAACCCTTATAAACGAAACCCTAAATCCCAAGACCTCCCATCGTTTTTACCTTCTCCCCTCCTCCCCATTGGACCGACCCCCCCTTGCGGCTTCCATATGAGGAAAGCAGCGAGGTGCCGCTCTTGTGTCCAGCCTTCGCCTTGTTCTCATCCTTGAAGTTGTCTATGTAGTTGAACAAATCCATGACCTCCAACACCATCCCGAAACCTTCTGACCTTGCTACCAAAATAACCATGCGCTTTTCTCATTTCCAGCTTCATGCCATACAGGGTAGAGCCCTACCAAGTTGGATGGCCAATGCATGTTTGGCCGAATTCAATTTGCTTCTGATGGCACCACTGCGCCTTCTTGTAGCGCTCCAAGGCCAGCTCGATGCGGCCCTGCTTAAAGAGGTTGCCGCCTCAATGCCAATTTTTGCATGCGGCTCAACTATGATGAGTAGCAATCAGCTACTCTGCAGTTGCACACATTTGTGATTGCTAACTACCCTCCCTCCCAGACACAAAGCACCTGTACAGAGGCGTGCGGAAGACCAGCTTCCCTAATGCACTTCCATGCACTTCCTGTCAGGCTCCATGCTGGCGGGCATTGTCTAGTCTTGAGATACGGGGGGGGGGGGGCTGGACGAAATGGTCTGATTCACAGCGCGAAATACTAGTGCCTACATTAGCTCTGCATTTCCAGTGGTGCAGCTGACTTGTGCGTTTCGTCTGAGACGCTTACCAACTTCCTTGCGGGCTTGTCCACGCTCCACCTAGCGCAAAGCATGGTCAAAGGCAATGTTTGTTTTTACAAACCCGCTTGCCCAGAGCACGTGCTAATTACCTTTTGGAACCTTGACTAAGCATGGACCAGAATGGAATTGGGCACGTGAGAAGTCCATGTCCGACTTCTCCAAGCAAGTTGCCCACGCCAGGCTACAAGCCTTCTCCTCCTCAGAGAGATCCCACTGCTCCTAACGCTGCAACGCTTCAATATGTCATGCTTGTGTATGTGTGTGCTGCGGTGCGCGCATGCATGTGCAACGTGCTTACATGTCCTTGCAAGCGGTTCACGGATCATCCTGCCCCCTGCTTTGGTTCAATTTGCAGTCTCCAACTGTCGATTTCAAGGTCATGACAGCTTCAGATTGATCCGCACCATGCTATATAATCACAGGATTCGCATATAAACAAACTCGGGCTAAGGAAGCACCAGGTTAGTCCAAAGTTAACATACAAGCGCCGTCAGACTATGTCGCTCTAGCCCGCTCTCTCCTTCAACTTCTCGAACTCCAACAGTTCGAGCGTCATGACAACCTGTGCTGTCGCGTCTTCTATCCCGACACGAAGTCAAGCGGCGAGTAGAGGCAGAGGACGTTTGACCACAAACTCTGGCAAATCACTTCAAGCCAACATGTCATCCCTCCTCCCCACTCCCTCCTCCCTCCCTTTCCATCCTCACCCCCACCATAGTTGTATAAATCCACGGCCATGGGCCCACATACAAGAATTATTGGTTGCTCTCTTTCCAATGGAAGCGGACAGGTGGCTTGATACCAAGGTTAATGAGCCAACTGGGCTTCATACCAAGGATTCATAATTACCACGCTGTCCCTCTCAAGGGTTCCGCCTCCACTGGTGCTGTGCAGGTTTCTCCAAATGGTGGACTGCCTGTTGGTGCTTAAAAGGGAACGAACTGGTCACCCTTGCCAATTTTTTTGCAATGGACCAATTCCCATTTGCGAAACACCCCAAAGTGAGGACTTAGCCCGGAAATGTGCCAACACTGGACACCACAGAGGCTTCCAAATCAGATATGCACCTTGCGTCATGACACCCGCGGACGATTTTTCGCGTTCTTCGCGCCTTGTCGGTGGGCTGAAGGCTCAACTTTGGCTCTATGCAGGAGCTGGGCCTGCAATTGGGACTCTCATAAAACATGCCTAGACATGGATTTGGGCGCGGCTCAAAGTAGTGGAGCCCCTGTTGAAATGGTGGGAACCAAACAGAGCCCAGCCCATGTTTGGCGGGGCTCCCCTAGTTTGTGGATAGGCCTTTGTTTTGCGAGCCCAAAAGCGGAGAGACCCTTTGGACAATCTTTGTCCATTAAAATCGGCAAACGGTGGAAGAGCAATCCAGATAAGGAGCTAGCCATAGCTTACTCCTATATCATGACTAAATTTAGTCTAAATGTGCCTTACAACCCCATTTTCATGATTTAGGCCCTCACAATATCTTTTCACCTTATATAGTTTACAGGGAAGCCAAAAGAACAGTTGACATTTTGGGTCCCACAATGCCACACAATTGCGACCGCAGCAGGGCAACTGAGTTCCTAACATAGCCGCTGAGAGGAGATGCTTGACCCCTCCATAAGCAAAGTTGTTCGGACGTCGATGCTTCCTTCCGCGTGGTGGTGGAAAATTGGCTTTGCATTTCCCGCTTTTTGTGGTATGGCTAGTGGTGCCATATCGTATGAAGTTCCCCGACTCGGCCCGCCTGGTGCAAGTGAGGATGGCACGCTCGCCTTTCTTCATCTCCAGCACGGCGCCTTCGGGCCCCATGGGCCCTGAAAAAGGTCTCGGACCCGCGCAACACAGGGTCTTTGGGGCTTCAGAAGGGGAGCAACTGCCCTCGAACCTGCGGCATTGCCAGAACTTGGGGGCCAAATTGCAAATTTTCGCACGTGGCCGTGGGTCAAAATCCCGTACCAGTGAACATCCCGATCCCCACTCAAATAGGTTCTCAAATGGGTGGTGAATTCACCTACCCCAACATGGGATTTCATGGGTTTTGACAACCACTGCCACCTTTGTTCGTGCAGTTTGAGGCTCCAATTTGTCGCCAGGCTCCGGGCATTCCAAGGCATCGCAGACCTCGCCGTCGCCCACAGTGAATTCCAGCCTCGCAGGGGTTTTCCCAAGCATTTGCCTTTTGAAAGCACCATGGGTTGCATGGGTTTCGTTCTTGGTTTTCCCCCAACCGGTTTGTCTTTGTTTCCCTTTGGTACCATGGGTTTGTCTCCCGTCAGTGGCCCGCAGTCTTTGCCTTTGAGCCAGTGTGCCAACCCAAACGAGGGTGCCAATCCCAACAAGGTGGTACCGGGTTGGCCCTCAAACGAAGACACACCAACATGGATGCCCAAGCATGGATGCCCTCGATGGTAAAGCGGGACCGAAAGGCTAACCAGCGCGTGTTTGTTTATGGGTCCCATGTTCCATTCTAGAGGCCCGCCAGCAACTTATACTGATTTGGGTGCTTTCAAAACATGTGCGTTGGACCCACAAAAACTGGTTGGTGTCCTTTTGGTCTCACTTCAAAGCCGATGTCACAAGGACTCCCTATCTTTGGACACCCGTGACTCACAGTGAGACGGATTCCCACTTTGTGCCTTGCGCAAAAGCCACGGAAGTCGTCCGGCAGATGGGCAGAAAATCGCACGTGCTCCGCGCAAGGACGTAAGAGAAATGCACATGGGAAATGTTCTGCCCAAAACCATGGGACTGTCGCCTAGTTTTCACAGGGTTCTGCGATACTTGATGCTATGGAATGAAAGGTCATGGGACTGTCCCCTACTCATCTTCACACAGCTGTGGAAAGTGCATTTCCACCTTTGTGGCACTAATTCAATGGAAAGCCTTCCAAATGACGAATTCTTCATAGAAGAGGTGGTTCCCTGGTATCACAGTAGGAACAAACCCTTATTCACACCACAACCTTCTGCCCGAATCGCTGTTGATTGACGTTGGACATGACTCCTCTTAGACGGCCTGATAAGCTTGTCTGATGGGACCAAGGATGCGGCCATGGAATCACCAGGTACCCCTTCAAATGGCAAAGTCCTCCTTTTTGAGTCCTGGGAGCCTCCATTGACTCGGGAGCACAAATGATTTCTGGGGTCTGCCCTTTTGGGGATTTGAGGGGGCAACTTCACCCCTTCGATTCTTAGTGCCGCACGTGGTCGTGCTGCCAGCAACGTCCACCTCTTGCATGACAGGTGACCCTAGCCATGAATGGAGATCCCTACCTTGTACACGTGGGCGTGTCTCAAAAAATAGGGTACCCCTCCCCCCAAAATAAATAAATAAAATGGTGGTGCTGTTCCTTCGTTTTTGGCAAGCAGAGACTCCCAGCCGTCAGCTTCACCTTGCCGCCATCCTTGGGAGACTCGTAGCCTGCGAAGCAAGAACGAGGAAAGGGGGTTCCATGTCAGCGCTCAACCGTTGTCTTTTGGCTCTAGTCTCTCCTCTCGAACGGTAAGCTCCCCCAAACGTTTTGATGTTCAAAATACCAGGGTCCACAATACTAAACAAAACAGGCCAATTCTAAGCCTTGCTCACCGACCTGTCCTCCAGTCGTATTGGCGGACCCTCCGTCCTCATTCAGCCAGAAGAAATTGGCAGTTGTCAGGCCCAATCTACAGCCCCTATTCATAAAAACTGCTTCCCCCCAGAAGATTGCTATTTAGTGGGACACCTTTTATCAAGGGGGAAGGAAGGATTACCAAGATTATTAGATACATGTAGCCCTTACTATGACTTATAGTCCGAGTGAAACGAGGCAGTAGAACCGTCTACTAAAGTAGCCAATAGGGGGTTTGGGCGCTGCTAAAGACAGCATAATAGGTAGAAGGGTACCCCTGTTGGAGGATATGAAGAGCATGGTTTGCCCTTGAGCGGGTGGTTGCTCATTTCTAGATTGCCTACAGAACGCTGCAACTCATCATAGATCATGGCCCAACTGGGGGGTCGCCCAAAATCTAACTCCTCAAAAAGTGGATGGGCTTCTGGGTTTCATGTCAATCTGCAGGGCAGTACCTGGCCCTCAAACTAACTACCCTCTTGACCATAATGTTGGGGACAATCCCCCGCTTTTTGCAAGGTTCCCCTCCCACACTAGACACCTACTTTGTGTAGTTGGTGCATGTGGACAAACCTGCGGAAACACCTCCATTTGCTCAAGTCCCATAATGTCCAGTAGTGGTAGATGCCCTTTAAAAGCAACAGGGGAGCATAACTTAACACATATTGTTGAGCAATTGGATGGAAGAAACCAAAATGCAGCTGGAGCAGACCCACCATGCCTTCCCCTTCTTTGACCTGCTTCTTCATCACGGACCTCGACATGGAGCGGGCAAACTGATGAACAACAAAAGCGGACAGGTAAATACAAAATAACATAACAAACCATTGATTAAACCAACACATAGTCATGAAGCTTCCAGTTGTTTCCATGAAGCATTGAACAAAACAGAAACAAGCAATAAACGCCCTTCGGAAGAGCTGGTGTTTGAAGGAAAAGGACAGATGCTGGTTGAACAGAATGGGCCCTTTTTGGGGTATGAAGATCCTGTCCCGCAAACCGGTCTGTTTCGCCAGCACAGGCATGAGTCACAATCAAGAATCTGGTATTAACGAGTTCAGCCAACATCCTTGTTGAATATTTTTTTCAGTTGGACATGAGCGGTGTGTCTAGTTGAGGAAAGGTAGATGGCTATGTGGGGGTTGATCACAAGGTCCTTTGCATTGGATGACCATTGGGGGAAGCAACTAAACAAGATGATACTTCCCACTAAATATGGGACAAGTTACCCTTGGTCATTTGGGGCCAGAAATATTGATCAACCCCCATCCTCAGCAGGGAACTTCCCTCGAAATTGGTCGGACTGAATTTCAGTCCGAATTCACCCGGCCTTGGCTCGAAGCGAGTGGAACAATTCCCACGCGCAAAAACAAACATGCAAATCGTCGCGCGGGGCTCCCTGCTTGTCCTTTCCAAAGGAGACATCCTGAGAGATGTTTTGCGCGAGCTTTTTGGAGTTGGTACCCTTTCTGGGCGATTTTCAATCAAACCACAGTGGCCCAGAAAGGGTGGGCTTTTAAAAGGGAAAGGGGCTCCATGGCTCAAAATGTTGGCACATGCGTCCATCCGGACCAAAACGGTTCCCCCAGTCCAAAGCGTGGTCAAAAAGCAACAAAGGGATTCCAAGCCCTGCTTAGGGTCCCTGATCCTCAAAGACGACACGAAGGGCATGTTCAGATCTGTGGAGGTGAGGCGAGACATTCACTGATAAAAGGGGACTAGGGCGGTACAATGATATGTCCACCTCTGAGTACTCACCCCCCTCCTTGTCCCCAAATGTCCGCCTGGAAGAAACAGTGTCCGCAACCAAAAAGAGCACTCAAAAAGAAGTAGGGTGTGTGTGTGTGTCTGTTCATTATGGAGGCTGTCTCTAACCTAAGGTCCTACTTTCATACCCCTAATGGGCGTTCCCCAAATCATTCTGCAAAGTAACACCCAGCCCGGGAACCCGGAACCCTTTCGGAAGTCCCTGAAAAAGATGCTCCGCCCCATAGCTTTCACCTGGCGAGAAACGAATCCGGCCTTGTCGTCGTAGATCTCGTGAAGCGTCAGCTCAACCTTAGGATCTCGACCAGGCGGCTAGCCTCCCGAAGTCGATGCGCGTTTTCCAAAAAGAACACGAGCGAAGTACGAAATCAAGCTCAAAAACGAACAGCTGTGAGAGAAGCGCCCTTCCAAGAACACGAGCGAAATACGCAGTCAAAATCAAAGCGAAGAACAGCTGTGAGAGAAACAAGAAGCAACGTTCTTCAAAGATCTCAGTACCATGAAGAGTCCGGCTTGCAAAAAAAGATCGATCGGATCCCTGAGCTCCTGACAGTTCCTCCGTCCGGCTTCCCGAAATATTCCTGGCGATGTGTGAAGCTTCTGCATCCGAAGGCTTCCACAAAAAGTTGCTTACATGTTTTCTCAAGCAAACCGAATCGACTCAGGCCCCCGGTTCAAAGGAAGCCACGAGAGATTGCTTCGAAGAGTTGGGGGTTGATCAATCTTCCTGGCCCAAACATCATGGGTAACTTGTCCAATGTGGAGCAAAAAATAATTTGTCTCGGTGGCTTCTGTTGTTTAAGCATCTTGAAACCATGCGCACCCCCAAACCCGGCCCTGAAACCCCCGGCCTGTGTACACGCCACTGAAACCTCCTCGCCCTTCTTCATCATCTGAAGGACCTCGGGGAGCGGTTTGCGAAACCGAACCTACAAAACCGCAAAGAAAATCCGACTGAGCTGAAGGCCCTATCCGCCACCTTGCCCAAATCGCCCAGAGCGCCAGAAGCCAAGACGTACTCCATCTGGCGCTCTCACATTGTTGTTTTTTGCAAGCCCTTCAAAAGCTTGGTGCCAAGCGTCATTTCAGGGGCTTGACTCATGGCGCGGGGCCAACCGCACCTGTTCAAACAAACTCTAGGTAAGGTGCTCACTTCCGTGGAGTGGCGAGATAAAGTCTTTCCCACTAGGCTGAACCAAAAGGCCCAACAAGCAAAAGGAACTCAGGGAGTGAGGCTTATGTTGAATTGACATCCTCACTACCCTCTCACGGTGGCTAAATCGGACCCCAACCAAAGTAATCTTGAGGACCCCTCAAAGTGTTCGCTTGTAGGGACCCGGTGGTCAGTAGCTGGGGCTACTCCCCTTATGAGTGGTCAAACACCCACTTCCCTTTTCTTAAGTCCCATGGGCAAAATGAACAACAATCTTCAGCAAGTCGAAGCCCAAGTACCAGTTTGGCCAACCCTTGCTTCCCCCTCGCAACAAGCGCCTGTGGCTTCTCTTCGAGCACAGAGCCGTCGGCCGCCTGGATGAACGACCCACAAGGCCTTCCCACTCAGCCCCTGTTGGTTCACGTTGTTGCCAGAAAGCCAACCTGAAATTGGCATCGACACAAACAAATGAACAAGCGAACGAACAAACGAACAAACATGCAGGCAAACAGGCAGACAGACCGACCGGCCCACCGACACGGACAAACAGAAGGGCACCCACACAAGCAAACAAACAGGCAGACAGGCAGACAGGCAGACAGAGAGACAGAGAGACAGAGAGACAGAGAGACAGACAGACAGACAAACAAACATTCATACATATCTCTACATAATGTGATTGTTTTTAAATATATATATATATATTGTGCTACCCCTCCATGGACCCTGGTTTGGTGAGCTTGAGCTGTGTTTTTGTCCAGTGGTTTGTGCCTTGTTGGTCTTCTTGGTTTTGCAGCATGTTTTTGGGGGGCATATGTATATACACAAACATGCACACATATGTAACGTAAGCAATGATATCTACACCTGCCATCTGACAGAGTGTGCACGTATCTCAGATTATTGGGACAACTCTGGAATGTTTTCTTTTTTTTAATGGGATTCAAGGTTCGAATCTTGAAGAATCTGAGAATATTATTCTTGGGAATCTTGAAGCTTGAGCCCAATAATTTTCATTTTATGAAAAAATCCAGGGTTGTCCCAATATTCTCGGCTGTTCAATACACACTTCTGCAACCAAGCGTGCGCACCCATCTGCGGCCATTTAATCTGCAACCCCTCCGAGTTCCCTCAATGGGTGGATTCAACGCGAGAGGTCTTCAATCTAGTGGTAGAATACGATCAGGTGCTTAGCGATCCAGTGAAAACTGGAAGTAATGCACATGAGAAACAGCTGTGTTGTCCTC